ATAGCCCGACAGTAACAGCCATAGACAAGGACAGATCAAACGGATGCACAGTACACGCGAATCTTCTCGGCGGTTGAGATGCCGCGTCGGGTCCATAGACACTTCCTATAGCTTGAGACATTCCAACAAGCAGCGTCGATTTGGGAGACAATGTCATCCTTACTCTGCCCATCTGCCGGATCTGCTGCCGATCTATAAATGTAAAATGTTACAGAGCCAATCAGCCTAACTTATATATTCCATTGGTTGTCTGTATCTAGAAGAAAACTTGTCTCTTTACAACAGAGGACGCATTGCCGAGAACAGCCTTGCGAATTTGTAGGATACTTCTTGACATTACCCAGCATCATATTTTGAATTGGAATAGTGTGCCTTCCGTTGGTGGGCATCTTTAGGTTTTGACACTATGTTCGGCATAATAATTTTGCATATCCTTGGATTTGTTGGAAAATACATAATGCTGCAACTTCATGTAGAATATTTGAGTATCTTGGCGATTTTCCAGGCCTGGGCTTAATACATGGCCCGCCGATGACAATAAGTAAGCCACAAATGACTCCCATCTGCCTCGTCCTAAAATATTGTTATTCTCCAAGTGTCTACCCAGCTTTTGAGACTCAGGAGTTCAAGTACTGCACTATTTACCATACTGAAAACACAGGTACTAGCTAAAGTCCCAGACCTTTCTCGCCGACCTTCGGCCACTGTATGACAGTTCTGCTTCATCGTTCACTGCGATCGTACATCAGATCGTATTTATCAAGTCAGCGAACTTATCCACGCTGGTGGAATTGTAGCCGTTCATATTGATTTGTATTGTAGACTGGCATTCGATGAACGTTTAAGAGTCTTTCGTCACTTCGGCGTTTGCTGTTATTGCGGGAATGGGCCATTCAGAACTACAGAGAGCATACAGATTTAAATGAGCATGCAACCATGACCCCCGCCCCTTCGTTGCGGTTAAGGCGTCTAATGTTTTTTCAATGGCTAACATAGACCGCTGCCGACCCATTGCTTCCTCATCCGGTTTCGCCGCCTATTACCCCAACGTGCACAAGTGAAAACTTTACTGTTATTAATCAGATTGTGGCAACGGGCATCCGCTGTTTTTTTTGGCGATGCGTAGCACAATTTCCCCTCTAGCTCAGTGGCGTATTACGCGTGAAGTAAGCTATAGTAAGAGAGACC